TTGTTTAAAAAATAAAAATAAACAAAAACAATTATTGTGTCTTAATAGATTTATGGGCAAATGGGGCATCACTGAGGTTTCCCAGTATATTCCTCACTTTGGAATTCATTGATACATTTCTTCATTTAGCAGATACTTAGGGACAATATCTAAGTTTAAATACTGTGGAATACAATGAGAAACAGATTTGCCCAAGGAGTTTTCTCTTTAGTTGCTTATAGATCGTTATTTAATAACTAGGAGCCTTGAAGGCCCAGAACCCAGTGGTTTCAAGGTGAACTCAGAGGGCTGCAGCATCAAAATCACCTAACAAAGAAATGTTTCTCAGGGCAAGGACAAATAAAGCACATTTTGAAATGAGCTCCCACCTAACCCAAAGCACACCAAAGCAGGAATGGCCCACTACTCCAGGTATAAACAACTGTCCTCATGGCTGGGGCAACTTGTTCCATCTTAGGCATAATGGAGTGCTCTTGTTGACTTTTGAATTCAGACCTCATTGGAGACCTTACTCTACTGCCATACTGCATTGATTTTTTTCTTTTCTGAAAAGGCTCCGTCTTTGTCAATTTCAGTCCCAAACATCCTTAAAGCTGGTCATGTTCTTTTTGGGCAAAGAATGGCCACATGCATGAGAAATAAGTCCATTGTTTTGCAGAGAATACAATAATCGCTCATAGCATCTCAAGAGCTCTAGCTAACTCCATTGTTTATCCCATCGTTTTACCTTTGGTAATTTTCAAAGTGCTTTCATTTCCATTGTTCCAGTTTTATATCTATTGTAGTGTGAGCTTGACCCACAAGCTCCTGCGTGAGACCTCAAAGTTAGTCATTATGTAGACTTGCTTTTCGTAGTGGCCATTAGAACTATCTTTTCTGTCCTTGCCACCTTCAGATTTGAAGGCGCTGTCTCAGCTGTACTATTTCATCCAGCTTTAAATGTTTTTCCATATATAATTTCTAAATTACAAATTAATCAAATTATATTAGATTTTTCATGAATGTGCTTGGGATAAAAGAATGTAAACAGGGCTGACAACATTGTGTTCAAACATTCATGATTACTCTTGTCAAAGAGAATATGGGAATATTAAAATCAGAATAACCATTTGGTACAAACCATCTCTGACAAATTGTTCCCCAATGGGAAATTCTCCTAAATGAAGTTGATTGTTGAGTGATTTGAGATTATTTTTATAAACTAAACATGCAATAAAAATATTATAGGGTATCATCTGAACTTGCTTTGGTTTTTGTGTGTTTAGTGAAGCGAAAAATTAAGAGTTGATATTTCTGATTATAGTCCATAAAATAAAATTAGGATATGTAAATGATCTTTACATTAAGTCATTATGAGATGTTTCCAAATGAACTATTAATAGTTGCTTTTTAAAGGTATTTATGACATCTAAAATTCATATTCTTAATAAAGAGTTAAATCTTGAAGCAATGGCATATTGGCCTTACTTTTACTGGATTTTGAGCTATATGAAAATGAGACTCTAATGCTTCCTCAAAAAATTCTGCAGCAGCTTTTCACATATATATATATTTTTTAACCAAAACCAAAACCTCTGAAATGCCAAAACTCTACCTTGTTGTAATTTAAAAGTGGTTTTATGACTAGGAACATTTTCAGAACATTTTCTTATACATAAATGCATTTGAAAGAACATTTATACTTTTTAAGACATTTCATGCTCAGATTTATTCTTAAATGAAGTTAGATGAATCTTTCCACTCTGAAGGAGGAAGAGAATTTGATGGGGTGGGGGAAGAGAAAAAAATACTTATCACTATTGGGCTCTATAAGATTTCTTTGTGTGTTTTCATCTAAAAGCTTAAATTTGCTCAGTTTAAATATGATTTTGATGACTATTTCCTGTAGACAGCTATAGCAATAGACATTGTAATCTGTAACATTGTTACAGATTTTCCTATTTGTGTTTGTGTCCTCCATAGGTGAATGAGTGATACCAAATATATGAAAATTTTTTTCTGTACACTTAGGGTTGACATGCTGCTCTCTGTTGTTCAGATCTAGTTTTTTTTTTTTTTTACTTCATGCACAAGTATCCCAACCCCTCTGTGAGTTGCAGTTGAGAGGTAAAAATAATATTGAAGGTAATATTTATAGAATTCATAGCATCATGAATTTTTTAAAATGTTTTTCTCCAAATGTTATTATTTTTCTCTTCTATCATGTTCAAGGTTTAACATATTTTAGAATGACTCCACTCTTATTTTTTAAAAGCAGACCAAAACTGTGTAGAACCAACTTTACTAAATGAAACAAATCAAGTATTTATTTAAGACCTAGTGATACAAAATGAAATCTTAATAGCTTAAGTTTTCCCTTTGACTTTACTAGTAGTTTAGCTCAAAACCATTTATTTTGGGTATCAAGGTATATTCTATGCCATTAACCTTTTAACCTTTTAAATGATTATAGTGTTTGTACTATTCCTATTTACCTTTGGCATTGAGAATGTTTTTGTTATTTGTTAAACTTTCAAAATATACACCCAATATTGTTGAAGGAGCCCGAAGAAGGAATTTATGTTCTTATTTTATTCATGAACTGTGCCTTTTACCCTCTCAGTCAGTTCCAAGATCTAACCAAAGACACTTAGCAATTAATAAAATTGGAAGTCATAAAATAACTCAAGGAATTTTATTAAAGATATCTCTTAATAGCATTACTTTCCTCTGTTGGTAATTTTTAATTTAGCTCTTTATTTTTCATTAGATGCCATATTACATTTTGTGGAAATATTTTATGATCTAGTGTAGTGCGACAAAGGATGCTTTTAAAAAGTTTTATCTTCTCTGTGGAGATCCAGGTATCAGATATCACAGAGGATTATTTAATTTTATAATGAAATTTGTTTTGGGGTAGAAACACTGTGAAATGCATTCTTTTGGATTTCCCATGTGGTCTAAAACCAAGAGATTATTACCAGATAACTTTAAAAAACTTAAAATGGAAAAACTGACCCCATGTATAAAATTTCCAAAGCTCAGTGGATTATATTGAGTTCTGCATATACCATACAAAACTGACCATATTTTTTTTCAGTTTCTGATATTCTGCAGAGTGCATATATGTAGGTATGTGTACATCCATACACATAGCTATTAGGCCAGGTCTTAAGAATTTAATCAGAATATCAACTTAAAAAAACAGAAAAACAAGTTTTGTCCAGTTTCTCTCCTCGGTGGCTACACTATTTAGGGACACAGCACGAATGCCTGACCAGTGGTGTTTTCACCGGAGTGGCACAGCTGTGGACATACTGCCCTGAAGACGATGCTCAGTACTTACCACGATGCCTAAGACACTGAAGCCACTAAAGATGTGAGTTTTTTTTCCTAATGAAAAAAATGTGACTCTACTCCAATCGCTTTTTTAGTCAGTTTATGTACACGTGTGTGTTTGTATGCACCTGTACATGTGCTTGTGCGATTTAGAGTTGAGTCACTCTAGTGTCACCGTAGTGCTCCAAGATTAATGTTTAATTGAAAACGAAAATTCAGTTAAAATAGGCTACTTAGTGTCATGCAAGTAAATTTTTAGGGTGTTTTTATAAATATGTGCTTGCATTTGTTTACTGATAAGGTGACAGGACAGCAATGTCTTCCTGAAGCAGATGAGGCCATGTTTCTTAGAAGCAGATTCCACAATGGCATTCTGGATGGCAGACTCCTCGTGAAGCAGAGTTTAAAAGCAGAATCTTCCAAGAAAGTGGGGGCAGGTAATTATCGTAGCAACTAGGTTCCAGAAATATTCATGAAACAGGGATATAGGCTGGAGATGCCAGCCTATGGGTTACTTCACGTACTTCTTAAATTAAAAATGAGTGATTACTGAGCCATTACCAAGGGCGACTGATTTATACTCTTAGCCTGATTCACCAAATCTCAGTAAGTGAGTCATTCGAAAAGGATTAAAGTAGGACCAGAATGGATGTTCTGGGTGGGTTCATATTCACACCTGTCTAGTAATCACAGGAATAGTAAGTCTAAATAAAGAATATAAAGATACCGATAGTAGCATGAAATCAGTTTTGTCTCTGTGAAAAATAAAGCTAACAGACTTCCACATCACTTTGATTTAGCATCTGTAAACAAAATACCACTAGCATTTGAAAATAAGTCTACAAATGCCAAACTTGCAGAAAGGAAAAACAATGGCAAAACAAGTTAAAAATCCATCATGGGAGGTCTACACGAAATGGAAAATCTTTATCTGGAAGCCAGATAAACTAACAACTAAGCTTTTGAAAATATTACGCTAGGTTTAGCTAGAGGATTTTCTTGGTTCAGTAGTTTACGCAGGAGAATGTTCAGAAAGGATTTTCTTCCTTAAGTTTCAGAGATAGGACCAGGGATTTAGCTCGGTGGTTCTACCACCTGCCTCACAAGCACAAGGACCCAAATTTGATCCCTAGTACCAAAAAAAAGCATTTCAGAGATAAAGTCAATCCTTTTTTGTAGTAGACCTTGTATTGGCTGTATATTTCCACAGTATATGTCAATTTGTACATCCATGGTCATTTAATCTATTTCCCACTGTCATCCAACATTTAGGAGGCTTGAAAAGTTGTTAAGAGCTGGATTTATCTCAAAACCAAGTCAAGTCTTCTCAATTGATAATTATGGATATTCTGAGATTCATTTTACATTGAAGTTGTGTGATGATTCTACTTTGTATGAAATACTATGAACTTTTAAACATTACAAACATTATGGCAGTCTTTTTAATATTCTGAATATGTTTGAAATCTCATTTTTTTACTCAATAACTGAAATGGCTTTGTCTTACTTTTCTTTGGAGTTTCAGATATTCATGAAAAGCCCTACACTTTATGAAAATGAAATAGTAAATAAAATACTTAAAAGTTTATATGTTTCCAGATTACCAAATGTATGAATAATTGTTTAGGCAAATCACATTTGGTAAGATTATTATGAATAATGTAAATTTATATTCAGAATTTATTGTAATTTCATAACCCCAGAAAATATAGTAATTTCCCCAAGTAAATGAAAGGTGATAGGCTTTTAGTTTTCACCATCTAGCCATTTTCCAGATTTGCCCCATTTTTTTTGTGATGCTTGTTTTTTAAGAAAAGCAATCTGAATCACTCATCAGAGCAGTGGTGAAGACTGCTCTGCCTTCTGATACAAACATTGGCTGTGTCTTCCTCTGTCCAAAGCTGCAGAGATTCTCATTTACTCTGTGGTCCATTTTCTTGTGACTCACAAATCAACTTTGGCTGAAAGTTACCTCAGAAGCCAAGCAGGTATCATCAAAGGACACTTTTGTGGCAGACAAGTAAGGGTCGGTGACAGCGATGTCATCCAGCTCTGTGCTGTAGTGCTCTGACTCCTTGATGACGCTGTAACTCAGGGCCACACTGTAACTGGCCGGCTTTTCTGCTGGCTTCTGCTTGCAGTTGCAGAGCTTTCTGAAGGCTGCACGGAATTTCTGGGACATGAGGTTGTAAATCACTGGGTTGATGGCACTGTTGAGATAAATGCAAATTCTGCAAAAGAGCAAGAACCAATTTTCTTGGAAAGGGCTGGAGAGAAATGAGTTGACAACCACAAGGGTCCTGTAGGGCATCCATAAAAGGGCAAAAAGGATTACAACCACTGCCAGCATCTTGGTGACCTGTGGAGAAAGAAAGAGAAAGAGATGTGGTACAAACACACAAATAAAAACAAAACAAAGTCACCCTCTCTCTCTCCTCCTAGATCTTCATTCCCAAGATGTACCTTGAGGTGAGGACTTAGGTACAGGCCATTCATTTGCGAGGTGGACCCAGGCAAAAGAACTAAGTATAAAAGAGAGTGTGATGGAGCTGCCCTAGGGGTCTTATTAAAATGGCTCCCACTGTGGGCAGCTGCAGCTTGAGTAAGGGGTTTCAGAAGTTGCAGATGCTGGGACATTCATCTCCTGCTGCCTGCTGCCATTTTTCCAAGGTTGTCCTTGGGGATTTCATTTCCTCTGCACCACTAGGACTGTCTGGCCCAGGAAAGCCCTGAGAACTGTAGAGGGGAACTTGAGGCAGAGAACAAGAGAGCTGAGAAATGTGAAGAAGTATAATAAAAATATGTGGTGAATGTTTACATTTTAAAAATTTATAAGGGTAAAAGACACATGACGATTCATCTCCCTCGAAATACTCTCCTTCAGTTTGAACACACATGCCCCATCATTCTTGCCATATTCTTGCAGTTCTGAGGAAGTCGTCCTTCCTGTCTTTATGAGGTATGGTTAAAAAATAAACAAAAAAGCCATGAACACTTCTGCCGAAGAGCATTCAATGGAAGGTAGGCTTATACACACACATGCTGTCTCTCATCCACCTTAGTCAGAATGAATCTGGCTCCATGCAACTTCTGGCTCTTCCCTGAGTCAAAATGACCATGAAAGGTAAACGTTTTGAATTAATTCAAGACATGGAGGCAGTGACAACTGGGCCACTAGAACTGGACTTCCGCGACTGATTCAGAAAGTGGCAAGAATCATGGGATAAATTTAAATACTTAAACATTCACTGTACTTTTCAATTATACTTCATATGTCCCTAGAAACTACAGAGTATTAGAACTAAGATTGGAATCCAAGTCAACGTGCATTCAAAGCTTTTGCTCCTCCCACAGTTCAGCTTTCCTTAAGATAAAAGAGGTAGATGGAAGAGGAAAAACTGATATTTTCCCTAGAACTGACCCTGCTTTTAACTACAAGCAACAAAAGGTAGGGCAAGAGATAGGATAAAACTGATATCCAAGATCCCCCAGAAAGAAGATTATCAAATGGAATAATCTATCAGATTCTTCTCTTGCTTCATTTCTCAGAGAGGTGCTGGGTATTGGTCTGAAGTCTAGATGATTTGGCATTGACTTTGAATTTGGAAGCTAGCAAAACAGAATGAACTTCCTCTTCCTCCTTTGTTCCTGTCATATCCCAGCTATTGAAATGGAGCCTCCCCAGCAGCTCTGTCTTGTTATGGCACTGAGGGAGATCATCCTGTCCTTTAAAAAGGCTGTATAAAGTTCTCAGATGCAGCAATAGAATCCCTCATGTGTCTCCATTGTTGTCAGTATCTACTATAAGCTGAGCTTCCACCCTCACCTTGGTAACAGAAGCCATAACAATCTCACGTGCTACATCTTCGTTGCCCAACATTCTGAGGCCTGCCCTTGCCATAACTCTTCCAGTCCAGCCAAGAACATCCTGAACTCCACATATGAGAATGCTATCCTCTTGCTGTTGCTCCTTGGTCTACAGGAATTGCTTACCTTCTCCCTTGACAATATTCCAAATATCACTTGCTCAAAAACAAAACAAAACAAAACAAAACACATCATTTGCACTCAGAATTCTCTTCTGTATGCACACATAGTTTTTATCTCTTTTTGCAACATTCTTATTTCTACTACCTCTTTGCAATGGGCCTGATGAGCCGTCCAACTAGTCTTAATGCATGGTGCCTACTCTACTCCCAGGGTCACTTTCTCCCCATCTTCAAGCCTCTTCAGCTTTCTAGAGATGAGACCCAGGCCACCCTGTTCCACCCTACTCCCCACTCACTGAGCTTCGCTGCTGACTTAGTGCATGTGGGATACTCATACTCCGTTTTTACCAAGGGGGCAGAGAAGCTGGTCCCTGGGAAGGTGTGGTCTATACATTGGTTCACATAATATGGATAAGGCATTCTTTTAGGCTGAGGGACTGTCCACTCAAGTTGCAGGTTAATCTAAACTAGATTTTGCCTAAACATACTTTTAAAGTTACGAGTAAATATTTTTCTTGGTCCTTGGAAATCATTCTGAGCTTCAGAAGGAGCTACACTAATTATCACCTTCACTATCATCCCCATCGCAATAGACTTCACTGTCAACACCTCCATCCCTGCCCTTACCCCCTGCCTAGTACTCCCAGTTCTCTGACAAAAGGTCGCTACCCCAGTCCTTGCCAAGGACTAAGCATCCTACTTTGGAATACCTGCCTTTAAGTTAAATTGCTGCCATCATATGGGCCCTCTATGAGGCCCTTTATGATGGTAATCTGATAAGTAACATAAACATTATCTTATGCAATCCTTACAATAACTATGAGCAAACTAGTGTTAATCTTCCTTTGTACGTGAAGAAATTGAATGTTAGCGTTTCAGTGATTTGAAGTCAAAGACACATGTGGCGTGATAAAACTGTGGCTCAAATCTGAGTCTACATAAGTGAAAGGTAGTGTTCTTTCCTTTATACTTCAACCTCTCTATGGAATTAGTTTGCATTTTTTGACAGATATCTATTGTGACCACGTCAGGGTCACCTGTTGAACTTCTTCTTACTATAAAACCAGCACATTTATGGCTGCTACATTTCAGAAGATGGAATTTTGTGCACTTATTTTCCTCTACAATTTTCAGATAAAGTACCAAATTCATACGTCACATCTACATAACTCTTTTCGTTTAGTGTCAGTGAAGGGAAAGACTTTCACTGTGCTAAAGAACAGTAACGTGTTTCAAGGTTTGTATCTTTCCCTGCTCCTCTGTGGCCTCCCACGTATACTTTGACGTCAGTCCCAAAATTTAACTGCAATAAACTGTGTCTGTGTGTTTTTCTCATGAAGAGTCAACTTCTTCACAACAGGGCCAAATTCATTCATTTCTCAGTTCTGAGAGATTTAGTACAGTATGTGACACACAGAAGGCCTCAGAAAATATTTAATAAATTCAGGCATGGAAAGAATTATATTAAAGTTTGTAGCCATGATTCCTTTCTGAGTTTTCATTGTTCAGTGTATGCATGCAGAGGGTTTTTGCAAACATTTTTATTTTTTCAATATTAAAAAAAATCCCTTCTAAATGGAGGTTAAGTTAATCAGTAAGGTGAATTTTTAATACATTGTAACTTTTCATTTGAAATATATTTTAAAGAACTTCCAGGATATATAAAGCAAAGCAGTTACCGTGATGTTTCTAAGACTATGAGAAAACAGTATCTCAGATAAAATGAAATAGAATACTTTTAATCCCATTCATAATTATTTTTAGTTAATTTTAAATATCTTTTACTGGGTTTAATCCCTTTCTAAGGAGTCCACTAATTTTTGAAAAAGTCATCACTTAAATTTTTAACAGCACCCTTTAGATATTTCTAGAAAGGAAATACCCTGGAAATTGTCTTTTCTAACCAATTAATTTCACTGTGGTTATTGAAGTTTTATTTATGTATGTATTTATTTATTTATTTATTGGTACCAGGGATTGAATGAAGTTTTATTGCTGATGTAATTCCTTATCCTGTATAGCATTTTAAAAAGTGAAAACTGAAATTTGTGCATTGCTTTTAATTGTAGTATATGGGGCATGAAGTGATCTAGGAAACTGCTTTTTTTTCCCTTTGGTACCAGGGATAGAACTCAGGACCTTGCACTTACAAGGCAGGCAGTGGAACCACTGAGCTAAATCCCCAGCCCCTAAAAAACTGCTTCTTTACAACATATCTTCAGAAACACCATGATACAACTTGGAAGAAATGTTCTTACGATTTATTTTTGGTTCACAGACATTCAAAGTCATTTACTCTCATACTTACTGTGTCCCTGTGTGCTAGATCTTCAAGACTTAACAGAAGAGGCATTGCCAGCTCCAGAGAAACAGTGCCAGTTCCTCTCCATACCTTAAATCCAAAGGGCATCGATGTTGCAAAGTGACGGACGCTAAGACAGGGGAAGCTTTGGTGCTATGACCGCAACTAATCTGCACTTGGGATTGAAGGGTGATTAGCAAGGGTTTTCTGTCCCAAGTGATAGCTGTAAGAAAATCTTAAGGTAAACAGGGGCAGAAAGAATGTCCCTGCTGAGACTGGTCTGGTGAGTACCTGGAGATTTTTAGCAGTGCATATCACAGGGCCTAGAGGTAATTCAATATTCGTGTTCCACTTGCAGACTACACGAAGAAGCAGAGTTTCTTCTTTCCCCAGTCAGTTGTGGAAACCATTAGAAAAGCCCCTAATTTCCTCTGACGAGGAGATAAACACTTTGTGGAGTGTATGACCTGCATTACTGGGACAGAAGGAGATGCATAGCTGCCATAGCAGGTACCGCTGCAGGACTGCGTGTTGAGTTTGAGAAGATGCATGCTCTGTGCAGACATTTTCGTCAACATGGAGGCAGGTGGCCATTTATCCGAAGTGTATTCACAGCTAACAAAGAAGACTATAAAAATCAGTTGACTAAAATGTAACATTTAGAGAAAGAGATTGTTGGCAGGGGTGGTTGAGATGAGGGAAATAAGGGCAAGAGACCCACTGGATGGGCCTCTGTCCTTGGCCACTGTGGGTAAGGCTGAGCGTTTTTATGAGGATCATCTGAAATTTTTGATATCAAGTCCTACCATATATCTTTTATTCTTTACTGTGTTTAAATACTTGGAACAAGTGGCAAATAGTTCTCATAAGAGAGTTTGGATTCAGCCGTTCTCTGCAACCTTTCTGTCATTCTCATAAAACTTCTCTATAATGGTTCTATTGAGAAATTTCTTTTTGTTTTAATGTGAATTGAATACGTTTCTATCTGATGGTCAAGATTAAGATTAGTGTTCCTCAATGGAGCACAAATTGTACTCTCCCTATGGTGTACAAATGGGATAAAAGCCA